GTGAAATAAATTTAAAAACAGATAATTAAAAAAATTAATAGCTATAAACGTTAATGTTGTGATCTAGAAGAACACGTTGTCATAAAATATTTAATTTTGAGTAGTTTCGTCGCGTTTAACTTAAGTAATATCAATTTGACGTAAGAAACGAATGCAACTTAAAAATGTTATTTGGAATTAGCCCGAAGAACTTTACAAAAGTGTTTACCATCTCAAGAGTTATTATATCACTATAACTCTATGTGATATGATTGAGTGATTTGATAAAAATTTTATCATAAGAAGATATTTGGACATATCTACTGCATTGTTGTATTTGGTATCAATAAACTAATAAACTACATATTGACTCGTTTACAACTCAAGCAAGTTACAGTAGCGGTCCGCTATTTATCGGATGATAAAAGTGAAAGCAAATGCTTCAGAATAACAACGGCGATTATAAGCGTCCGATCGAACCGATTTTATGTTTCTTTTTAATAGTCATTACGTTATAGATTCACTTGGAAAGTATTAATTGTGAAATGTTGACGAGGTTCAGCTGTTGGTATGAATTTGATAAATAAATCCTAGTTAGTGTATTCTGATGGCGCTATATTATTTACTTCAACAATAAGTGACAAAAAAAACAAAAATGTTTTCGGTACATTTTTAGGATAACGAGTAAACATAATATTATACAGTTGAAATAAATGATCTCAGATAGTACTTGTATTATGCAATTATATCTATATGTGTGGGCACGTGCGATTATGAACGGACACTGTTAGACAACACTGTAAAAGCGCAACTACTTGCCGGGAAGTAGCTACTGACTGAACCATGTTTTTATTGTTACATAGTACATCCGACGTGACAAGAATTCGCAGTTTGCTAACCTAATTATTGTACATCACGTATGCTGATTATAGATAGTAATATTATTGTTAAAATAATGCCTGGAAATTCATGAAAAATGCAAGATTAAAATTCTTTTAATAATTTGAAATGTTAAAAAGACCACAGTTATGTAATTCCATTTGAATAACCTTTGCAAATGTTTTATATAATTAACTTATAGACATAGACAGAGGAAAGGTTGAGTCCCGCTATCACAATATAGTAAAATGACTTAACACAAATTTTCGGGATCCATCTATGTAAAATATATATAATTTAAAACATAAATTTTTAAATAAATGATGACACGCTTCTAACTAAATATGTCTCAAGTAAAATATTGATTAAGTACTGAAGAAAATTTCCGCAATAATGATGGTTTACATATAAAAAGGCTTTTGATTTCAGTAAAATAGTTTTAAGTCATTGTAGTATAATACAATATTTAAAAAAAAACAGTCTTTCTACAGAAAATTTGAATATTGAAAGTAACTTATACTAAAACTATCAACAAAAAAGGTAAGAATTATTTAAAATATTATTTAATACTTATTTTTGAAAACCTCTATTATATTTTTAGAATCATGTTTTAATCATTTATTTATTTAATTATATAAACGCTACAAAAATGGCTTTATGACATTCTTAATATTAACATCATTATTATTAGTGTTGTAGGACACCATTAAGAAAATATAAGTCAGTTTAATAAACAATATTTTAAGATAAATCACATATTAAATTTTAGACTTTAATTAAAACTGTAATATATTGAAAAGTTAATATTAATATTAATCAAATGTGTTTTATACAAAAATTAATAAGTACACATTATATTAATTGATTTATTTATTTAGTCTATAACCACGGATCTTCTATGAAGTTCACGGTTTACTAGTTATCAGTGATCCGTGAAACCAGTTACTATAATAATTTAACTTGCTATGTCATTGCCAAAGTAACAATTTATAACCAGATTACTCGTCTTCTAATTGTAAATCGATTCACAGGTATAAAATAATCTACCATTTGATCCTTAGATAAAAGGAACTTTAAACTCAAAAAGAGTCTAAAACAAAAGAATTAATAATTTAAAAGGAAAGAAGATGAAAAAAAAATCCTTTCCCTTAAATTTATCAAATATACTAAATTGTATGAAAGGTTAAGTTTTCAAGATACTCTTTTTTTCACGCCTACATGTACAACAATAATAAGTGTTATTTGGTTCATGCAAGTAGTTTTTTTGCAAAATATCTATATTATACACACTAAAAGTGTATAAACAAATTTTTGTAGGATATACGATAATATTTTAGTGGTAAATAGATATATTTACGACATATATATGCAGCATGTATTTTCATATATCTCGTATCACCTTCAACACATCATTGGTTTTCTCAACTATTTTCAGATAGTTGTTTTTTATATTCCTATTTAATTATAAATTTAAAAGTAAGAAAAATTTGTTTATCTTTAATCTTTTGAATGAATACGGTTCATTTACCGACTGTATAAAATACAGAAAGCACGAGAATTTTGAAAGAGTGCACTGACATTTTAAGGTTATGTAATTTATTGTACATTGGTCAGTCTTCAATTTGATTGTAATGATAGTAAAAAACTAGTAAATGTAACTAAATACAAATATATGCCTACGTGTTATACCTATATTATAAGTAAACATTTATAGCTTCATATGTTTTATACCCGTTCTAGAAAACAGGAAACGCTTGTTTTTACGAGAGGAAACTTACATAAGTTCCTACATTGATTTAATAATATTATGATGTGTTTAATCAATTGTATAATTAAATTAAATATATTTAACATAAAATTAATTAAGAAAAATGTTGATACATTATATGTAATTAAATATTGATATAACATACTCAGACATTTTTACCATCTTAGATGAAATTTTGTGTAATCATAATTGTAAATATAAATATTTTTATCGTAGTATGTCTTTGTTGATAATTTAAACATTCAATAAATAATTGAATTTATACTTAGATTTAAGTATAGACGTTATAGAAATTAGCAAGGGCGTATATAAAATATTTTTTGGGGAGATGGTTAAAATTGTTTTTTAATTTGGACAGAATTTTATAATCAATTTCTTTAATGGTCTTTTTTTTTTGTTCATAATCTTTATAAAAGTATATTTTTTAGTCATATACTAGGTTTTCGTGTAAATTTCGAGAGGGGGGATAGTGTTGCGACTTTCTAGCTCATAGGTTGTGAAGCATCGCCGTTAATTATGTTAAAACACTAAATTAATGGATTAAAGATTTAAACATATTGTAGTGATTGGAGAATATTTAAAAAATTGTTATCGTAATTTATAATATATTTAGTTTAAATTATTATAATTCAGTTGCATAACTGAAAGATTACCTTCTTGCATAACTCTCTACCACCCCTTCATAAAAATGATAAATCTCATTTTTTTAACTACATCAAATTATATCTAAAAACTTTTTAATCGATGTATCGATTTGATTTATTGTTCGTATTATTTTTATATTATTAAAATACATAAATAAGATGAAATAATAATAAGTATCCAAAATAAAGTCAATACAATAAGAGAATGTTTTATTCTTAGAATAACGCCGTCATCATAAAAATAAATCAATACACTAAAACGCTACTCATGTTTTTTATATAAATACTTATCATCATATTTAGATTGAAAAAAATATCGATCTTCTGATTTAATTTAAAAAGTGTGAAATAGGCTGGTATGTTATAACAGATTTAAAACTGATGACATGAATTTATCAAACGAGAAATCGTATTTTATCATTGAATTGATAGATCTATGCTATAATTTTTTATCAAACAAATTTTCTGAAGATATCAGTTTTTTTGATAAAAATCACGTATAAATGGATTTCTTCTTTTTAAGTCTATTTCAAATATTTAATTTATTTTAGACATAGGCACAACTATATTAAAATTTTTGGCGTACTTTAAGAGGATACCTACAGACCCGAGCGGGAGTTCGATTTAACCACTACCCCCTCCTCATTATTATCGCTACATAGGTATATTCATTGGAAAAAAACTACAATTATTATACAATTCAATGCAATTATTATCATTATCAGCCTACGTATATAAATACATTTTGACGACTCGGCAAAATACAACTTTTTTAAAAATTATTCTTAAATTATAATTTTGACAATAATGAAATAATAAAAAATACAACATCAATTATATCAATATTTGTATGGCCAAACCAAGAAATGCGTTCTAGTTTTTTTGAAGGTGCCAAAGTCTCTTTATTTTGTTTCTTAATTAGGACTTAAGCATAACTAATGTATTGTTCTGAGAGTACACATTAAAACGCTTTTCTTTATTTCCACTAAATAATAAAAAATAGTATCTTTATCTTGAAATTGTAAATACTTAAGATAATTTCCTAAGATACTACAATATGAAGACATTCAGTGCCACACTTAGGGGGAACTTCGGGTGCACAAGCCCCGGTGCAAGTTTAAGATACTAGTCTTATTATTAGCATAAACATATGTGAATATATGCATTGAAGTTGTTTTTTTTACTTACTCTCCATTTTAAAATATTGGAGAACAAAAAAAAAAATTGTAGGTACATTTTCTATAAAGCGGCATTCAATTTAATAATGGTGACAATTCCTGAAGGCCTAACGATCTAAAGATACAACTAAATAATATCTTTTAATAAATCCATAACTTAAGTAGTATTTTATTGTGTATTTACTACTACGTGTATTTAGAAAAAAAGTTGTAATATATTAACATAAATTAATATAACAAACATTTTTATCAAAGTGAACAACCATACTAAATGGAGAGCTATTAATAGAAAGATTATTAACAAAATTAAACTAGGTCTGAAGTTTTAAAATAAAACGCTAAAAGGGTAGTTAACTTCATACAACATACAACTTATTGTATTCGCGTAATATGTTTTTACATACTGGCCGTCGGCTATACCCAACGTAAAGATAGCAACAAGTTGCGCCGTGGCCTCGTGTGAAAGTCAGTGATTCTTCCGTGGCGGGAAGAAAGTACACGAGGTTCCCTGAATGTGAATACTATTTGTGATAAAGAGGGGACGTACGACCTTGCCCGGACACTGTTCGCAGTAAACTCAATATAAAACGCTCAGGAGGATGGTCCTCCATGTCAATCCGCAACGGACTTGCAGACAACGTGAGCTAAGTAAACACATTGTATAAAACACTATGGATCGCCACCAAATAGTGGTTAGTACAGTAACTATATAATACATATTTTATAATATTTTTTTCTACATTATACTCCGCGTTAAAAAACATTTTATAAATCATATTCGTATGCAGTTATCATTTTTGAACGGTTTTTATTTCGTTTTGTGTTGTATTACAAATAGCGATTTACAATATTAAACTTTGTGTTTTTTATCTAATATAAACAAGTGTAACGTATTGTATGCATACTCGGATTTGATAGGCAACCGACTTGGGCGGAGGACTATATTAACTCAAAAATTATGTGTGGTATCGTATAATCTCATGTCTATTAAATTCACTGATTAAATAATTTACAACTAATGACTATAAACATTTATTTTGATTTTCAAACATCCATTTATGTTTTTAATTAATATTGTCTCTTATGCAATATTTATTATTCGATTTTTTACTCTTTTATTTATAATATTCGTAAATAAAATACATAGAATATGCATATATACTATGTATAATATAAAAATTAGTACACTAGTGTTCCGATTTTCAATTTATTTATTGTTATTTTTCACTATCTACGAAATTTCCCACACACTTTCCCGCCGTTTCCGGCAATTTCAACGTCGGTAGAACACGGTTTAGTTAGACTGAGTTTTTACATCATACTAATAAAAACACCTTGTCTGCGAACATTAATTAAGGTAAAATTGAATTACACACAAATGTTGGTTTTAGCGATTTAGCTGGAGATTAGGTCCAAACAACTAAAATATGTCTATATATATTACTATACGCACTGTAGAGTTTGTATCAGTTCGGTGATTTTGTTTTCATTTTCAATATTATTAAGTTAACTTCATTACCCATATGCATTAACTCGTTATAAATTTGTGCACAATATAAACATTTATTTTACACTTAATATGATACTTCATATATTCTAAATTGCATAAGTGGTATTTCCCTAATTTATGTCACATATTTTTTTTTTTTTTTTAATTAGGCGATCTAATAGTTTTAAATAAATTATTTTATCTGTAATTGTATTTGCTCCGAGCTAATTTAAAATTGCAATGTTCTTCTTCAATAGACCGCCAAAAGAACATATAATGCATTGCAGTAATTATACAATGTTAGCTATCAATTGTTGATTGGCTGACATTGATGTAATTATTATAGTTGCTGTCAAGTCTGTAGTTCTGTGTCTGACAGGGTCAAAGGATACGCTACCGCGGCTAATAACCAAACATTATTTATTGTTCAGAACATAAATTCCCACTTAAATTTATTTCATATTTGTATTGATTAACAACAGAGGTAAACTAGTCGCTGTTGATGATGACAGACAAAATTTTAGACTAAGTAATTCTCCTTGTGGGTAATTCATTTTAGGTGGAAATTTTTCAGATGTGTTGTTTAAATACATCAAGTTTATAATAATAATTAATTTTATTAAAACTATCATACGATAAAATTAAAACAACATTATGACGCAAGCCTCTGGGAAGAAACAAACGTATTTTCAAACACTTTCACTACAAGATCAAAGCAAACATACAAGTTTGTGCGCTTTGGTCAGTGAAAATTTACTCATATGTTGATAAATATATGAACAAACTTAGTTGCAGAAACAAGAAAACTAGTTTTGCCACCTCTTTTGTGGTTATAATTTTACTATGCGTTAATAGTATAAACAGATTTTTATGCATCCCAAGGCGATGCACGCTTTTTCTTACTTTGGTACTATTTGTTATTTTTGAAGCAGCTAAATGGATCATACAACCGCATGCCGTAATAACAAGCGCGGGTGAAAGTCTTGTGCGAGATCAGCATTTTTTAGTTCGTGATTTCCGGATATTTATCTATACAAAACGTATCTCTACTCCACAAACGCATGCGTTTGTTTATGTGTTTATAAATATGTTTTTCTTCGATGTCGATTCGGTGGTGAAAGCGCAGTTTTGAATGAATAATTTTTTCAATAAAAATGGCAAAAATAATTTGCATTCTTTCTTTTGATTTCAGGTGTTCCTAGCTTTATTGGCCAACGTCGCTCTCGTTTGGTCAAAGGCAGTCGACTTGCCACAACAGCAAGTCGCCTTCCCAAAAGACGGAGATGTTAATATCCGTGAAAAGAAGTCACTCAGCAATTACGAACAATCTGGTCTGCAGTAAGTATATTTAAGCAATCGATATAATAATAATAACTCACAAATTAATAACTTATTAACAGCAAGCAGTTGTTTTTTATAAGAAAAAATATTTATCTGAACAAACAACAAAAACATAGTACTATTACTTGCAACTCTCTTAAAAATATTTAAATGTACACATAACTATAATATAAATTATTATTTTATAACAAAATATTTTTATCTGATGATGTACTGTTCTGAATAATTTGTACGGTTAAGTTCACAGTCTAAATATATTAAAATTTAATAACTTTATCGATTCCTTATACATATCCAAGAAGAGTTTTTTAAAACTTAGTTATAGTGAAAACTAAAATAAGACATATTTTCTCCAATTACCCAGAGCGTAGAGTATCATAAATTTGAAATTGTAGACATTATTTACTACTCTTGAAAAGTCATATCCTCCCCGGGGTTCCTTGATAATTTTTTAATAAAAATTATTAAGGTAAACGATAGTAATAATTTGTTTTGGTCAAGTGTAAATCGTGCGAAACCAATTCCGTCGTTCATATTTAAATAGAATATTATTTTATAGACTTCTATATCAGAAACTTTATTAAAAAATACTACGTGGAGAAAACTAATGTAGAAAATCACGTGACATCTCCAATTTGCAGCATAAAAAAAAAAATTAGTAACAGTGACTATAGATAATACACAAACAGACCATTTTAGTGTAGCCAATGTTTACGGCGACATTATAGAAAATCAAAACGTTTAAGTCTATTGTGCTGCCAACGTTTTAGTTTTGGCTACTCGGTGTGTCAAAAACTAGTATTTGTTTTGTTGATAGACACAATGACTTTTTTGTAGAAATAACACAACAAACAACACGAACTTGAAGATTGTAAAAACTGACATGAGTATAAAGCTATTTAAATTATTTACCCTAAGTAATAAAGGTTTTATTTTTATTTATATAGGCAACCGAATCAACTACAAGCACAAAAACGCATTGGTGTGCCCGACATCAGCTATGGTAATGGGGACGACCATCATCATCATCATGAAGAACATCATCATCACGAAGAAAAACTTAAAGGCTACTGGAAGAAGAAACTTATCTGGAAACCCGATTGGGTAAAAACATGGAAACCAGGAAAGAAACAAATCTGGAAGCCTTCGTGGAAAAAAATTTACAAGCCAATCTGGGTTCCAACAAAAAAACAAGGTTGGAAAGAAGTACATGTGCCAGTATGGAAAAAAATATACAAACCAATTTGGGTTCCAATCTCTGTGCCAGCTTGGAAAGAAATCCAAGTACCAGACTGGAAGAAAATCTACAAGCCAATATGGGTCCCTATAGAAGTCCCAGCATGGAAAGATATTAAAGTTCCAGACTGGAAGAAGGTTTACAAACCAGTGTGGAAAATCATTAAAGTGCCAGCCTGGAAGGAAGAACATGTACCAGATTGGCATAAGATTTGGGTCCCAGAATTAGTAAAAGCCTACGTTCCCGGATCTAAACACCTGGGCAAAGACTATCATGGTTGGGAATATGAAGCACACGATTTATGGAAGAAAAAGGTAGTGTGGAAGGTACATTGGAAGAAAGTCTGGAAGACTGTGAAAAAAGAAGTCTGGGTACCTGAGAAGAAATTAGAATGGAAAGAAGACTGGGTTCAAGTATGGAAGCCAGCTAAAAAACAAATTTGGGTTAAAGACAAGAAATTACAATGGAAAGAAGACTGGAAACAAATATGGCGCACTGAAAAGAAACAAATCTGGGTGTCTGATAAGAAATTGCAATGGAAAGAAGATTGGAAACAGGAATGGAAAACAGAAAAACACGAAATATGGATTCCAGACAAAAAATTAGAATGGAAAGAAGACTGGAAACAAATCTGGATACCCGATTGGAAAGAAATTTGGCTTCCAGCATGGAAGAAAATCTGGAAACCAGTGTGGATATCTGAATGGTTCCCAATTGAAGAGCATCACCATCATCATCATGAAGAGCACCACGACGCTCATGATGGATATAAGAAAAAATGAAGACTGATCCATGTTTCACATCATCAACCTATGTTGTGTATATATGAAAACATCAATTTGTAAATATTGTTATTATATATTATTAAGTTGTTAAAATGTGTTTTTACTTTTAAAATGTTAGCATTTTAAGCCAAATAATACTACTTCTACCTAACTACTTTTGCTTTTTATTCTCTTTTTAGATTCAGTAAAACAAAATGTATAAATAATGAATATTTTTAAACTTAAGAAAAATTAAATCAAAACCTAAATATGCTGAATATTAAAATCATTTCAGTAAAATGCTAATAAATATATATTTAAATAAAATCAACATTATATAGATTTTACTTTTTTAAAATAGTATTGTTATTTTTAGTTAAATAACTTACTTTTACTTGTACAATGTACAATGTCACCACAATATCATCAATTCATTGTTAAACTAGCTATTTAACGACACGATATTTCAACATGTGACGTGGGTGTTCGCGTACATAATATAATGTGTTTAAAAATGGTTTTGAATAGGAATTTGATAGTTATACAATGAAATAAGTATAACAAACAGATGAAGTTTTCTCTATAACCCAAATATGACTGAACACAAATACATTTATTCATACGAGTATACATACAAACGTAAGTATTTAAGCTTAATTAGTCTATCTAATCTAAGTGTAAGTAAAGGTAAATATATCAATAAATAATGTGAGCACTTAAATCTTAAACAAAAATTACTGAGTTATTATTTCGTAAAGTTAAAACTCTTCAAATTCTTTAATATATATTAATAATTAATACATAATAAAGGTGTTTCCGATATTTCGCTTATGAGTAAAGCTGTATGACCGCCTCAGTAACATAACCAAGATTTGTGCTTGGGGGAGCTAATAACCTTTTTGGTGTTTTAGCTTTTCATAGGTTCTTACTAGCGCTGGAATCTTTTATTACTAATAATAATAATTGGTCAATGGAGAGGCTATAATCCAATATTTCCTCTCTTAACTACTCCATTGTCCGACCTCCTTTTTAGGATTTGAGCTCAACCCAGTACTCGGATTGTATATATATTTACTATCAGAAAAATCTAAAAAATTTTAAAATTTAATGTAGGAATAAGTAGCCTCTAATATTTTCTATGTACTTTTTGATAACGAGTTAAACCCCTTGTACATGTTAAACATAAAAATTTAATGACATTTAAATGTGAAATAACGTTAAACCCAATTTTAAAGTAAAGTTATTATCATTTTAAACATTAAACGAAAAAATATTTAAATCCGAACATTATATAATTTATTATAAAATAAATTGTATAATAAGGATTATATTAACAGACAAATGAACTTGAAATATGTTCAACTTTGCTATACCAATTAATGTAAATTTCGGTCTAAAATGTTTAAAATATAATAATAAATAAAATTTTATAAATAATTAACAATTTCTTATTTACTTTAAATAAATTTAGTTTCTCCATATAAATTCGCTTCTACAAACCCAATTTTGCTCAACAATACGTTAAAAGATCATGAATCATATCTAGTTAAAATTTCAGCGTCACAATTTGGAAAGATTTTCCTCATTCTAATAATAAAGGATAATCCAATGCAAAAAATTACAATTGATATAAAACAGTCGATATTGACATTTTTAGTTTTTAATCTACATTAAAATAACTTTTTAAAATATAAAAAAATCCTTACGAAATTTATTGACTATATTTTAAAAATTTACCTTGCTAACGGCATATTTTTTGAAAGTCCTTTAAACCTATAGCAAATTATAGCTTATAAAATTAGAAAAAGAAATTTTTTAAATTTTTGATGAAATGTTTTGTTTAGTCTTTATAAACTAAACAAGAATTGCAACAAAGTGTTATATGCTAGCGATGCTTATCACTGTTAAAATTCAAAGAATATTGTAATTCACTAAGCGACTGTTCTAGGCTTTTTAATAATTACTTTATAATTCTTTAACTGGGGATAATAAATAAGTATAGCTAAGAGACTTCTCTTTTTTTTTTAAAATTGTATTGTAAAACTCATTGAAGAGTTATATTAGAATATAGTACTATAAAGAAATGTTTGTATTCAATATATTTATATAAGCTTATTACCTTAATGATTTTATAAAGTAGCTGAACATTTATTTAATGCATATTTGTTGTTTTAAAATATATTTATGATAATTGTCATCTAAATATTTTATTTTATATTCAACTACATGTATTCCTATTACTTTATGACGACCATAATTATGCATTGCAAAAGTGCATAATTTGTTAGTTTTATATAACAATTTTAGCTCCTTTTTCTAAAAAAGAATTTGGTCAACTAAAAAAATAACTCAATATATAATAATAATATAATATTTAAAATAATAATACTTAAAGGACTTTAACTTTCATATCTCTTGCTATTTTTAATTATAATAAAATAGAAAAACTAGATTCTCAGAGTTCAATAAATGAAAGACTTTTACTAATAATTAGACATAAATTTCTGAGCAACATATTATTTATTATGAGAAACTGGTAAATAGACACATTCTATGGCTAAAATTCTACCAATCAATGATTTATTTTTTCGTAGTAAATAGCAAACCATTTCTATATAGATATCGCCAAAAAAGTGTCAAATTTTTATTATTAGTAATAATTGAAAAAAATGTTTTCATAATACTAGGATTTTAAAGTCTAAGGAAAAAAATGCCCATATTTGGTATTTTTTCCTTTTACATCACAATATTGTGATTAGAATAATAATTAAAAATTGTTTATAACTTGTTCTAATAATAAAAGTTTCCGCCTAACATAATGGAATAAGATGATTTAAATATAAATTATTTTTTACAAATTGATAATTAGGCCAGTCAACGAAGGAAAAATGGCGGAAAAAATTCACAACCAAATTTTTTTTTTTTAAGTTGAATTAAGATATATATAATGACATACTAAAAATCCTCATCGATTGTACTTGAGCTTTCTTTTTACAGCCTCGCTAAAGTTCAAAAATATGAGCTTTTTTAATTTTCTTAAAAAATATTTAACTTACAAAAAAAAGTTTCGTACAAAAGTTGTTTAAAAAATAATTTTAAACAAAAAAGGTATCTTATATTTTTTCATTTAAACAAATATTTTTCGAGTTACATTACATTTAATATGAGTACTAAAATTTATTTTCCAATTTTTTTCATTTTACGGTTATTTTTTATCATGTTATACTTACATTAGACACAATGTTATAAATGCATATGTGTGTATGTGTGAGTTTATTTATTTATAGTATCATTAAAGTGTAGTGTATATTAAGATACAACCGATAGAGTAGGTAATTGATTTGACTCTATATTGTTTAAACCCAGCTAAACGCTAAATTGTACATTCCCAAACAACAATTATATTATGACAATTGCCACCGGAATTTTTGCTAATAATAAAGATAATTGTCATAAAACGGCTTTTAGTCAGGTGCTGTAGCTGGTAAAAATTGTGGCTGCTGAAAAACAGGTCTTAAATGTTCTATTACATGTGAACATTGCAAATGTCAATGGCGTACAAATTCAATACAAATAAAGATTGAAGATTGAAGATTAAGAAAATTGTGCTTTTGTTGAAGATATATTCTATCAAAATTTAGAATGGGAAAATGGAAAAAAATTTTGTTTGATAAATTTGTCAAATAACTTTATAGTGGAGAAATCCTCCATCGATTACATACTTTGCACTAGTAATGCATATAACTTGTATTTAGAATATAAATAAGGAAATAGGTGATCATGTAGATTTTGTAATAATCCATTAAAATTTTAAAATTAAACACTATCTACAGATTTGCATCAAGGCGTTGTTTTTTGATAATGATTTTAATCACTGTCACATATCATCTATACTGAACCCAATTATACACACTGTGCCGGGACACTGCTGGTTTTTTTTTTAATAGCGATTAGTTGAAATAGTAGCAATGGGTTTACTTTAATTATTTCATTATTAATTTTAACAATAGTAGTATTGAAAATACAGTTATAACTTTATTTGACCTTTTAAGATTTATATCATGAAAGTTATTATCCACCATTGAGTTTACTAGAACAAGACCAATTTTAGACACTTTATGACAATTAATTTTATCATTACCAGTAATTCTAGCTGGGTTGACAAAAGAGAATATGAGGTAGATGAAATGAGGAGATCAGTGACAATAGGGGAGAGTGTGAATGGGGAGGTAGAAAGTCTTAAGTATTTAAGATCAGTAATGCAAAAGAGCAGTGGTATTGACGAGGATGTAAGACACAGAATTAAGTGCGGGTGGTTGAAGTGGAGAGAAGTGTCTGGCGTCTTATGCGATAAAAGAATTCCAATGAGGCTGAAAGGTAAATTTTACAAGACTGTATTGACGCCAGCTATTATGTATGGTTCAGAATGTCAATGTTTATTTATAATTATTAAAATAATTATTTGGGATCCAGTTACTGCGTGTGATATGATGCAAGTTGAACGAGTGCAACGCAAATTTTTAAACTTTGCGGAAAATAAATTAAAAATTGATCACCCACCCCATGACTATACACCAATAATGCATCAACTCGGTTTGCTTACGTTAGCTGATAGGAGACTTGAAGCTAATCTAACTTTCCTCAGGCGTCTTATTGATGGTCATATAGACACTCCTGAACTATTAGAACTAATAAAATTTAAAGTTCCATCTTATCACGCACATCATTTAATTCTTATTTCTGTATCTAAATGTAATACCAACTACCTAAAAAACCAGCCATGTTATAGAATGATTAGTATTGCTAATAAGGACCCATCAGCTTTATTATATTATTAATTGTTGTATTTTATATTATTATTGTACATATAATTTAAGTCTATTATACTGAAATTTAGGCATTTCCCGTATTGAGAATAAATATATCTTTATTCGATAGACTCTAAAATAATATAATTATAATTTCATGGAGTATTACATTTATTCACAAAAATAAGTGAAATAGATTCGATGAACTGATATTACAATACTATATATTTATCTTTTAACTAATAATCCATAATGTAATTCAGCTTATTATAGTTGACAAAATTGTCTAAAATTTATGCAGAATTTCAAAAAAAAAAAAAAGATTTTTTTTTAACATAAGCAAAATAAAATAGTTTTCTGAAAGTTCTTTTTCTATTTTTTGAGTCTTTAAAAATCTTAATTTTATGTTTACTTTTTTTTATGGTGATTTTAAACCATATTAAAATACCAAAGTGGAACAGTAAGTAAAAGTCTAGTATTTTAATCAAATAAATTAAAATACAATCCTTTATACAAATTACCGAGCAAGCAATTGAATAATTAAGCTAACACTTAAACACTAATATTTATACAGCAAATTTCTTAGAAGTCAAAATTATTACAATATAAAATATATAAGAAAAAAATGAAATTCCCCAAATGACATTTAATATTTATTACTCATACAACAAAATGATCATAAAACATAAGTATAAAAGTGCAAAACTTTCTAACTAACTATATATCATATCATTTTATAAAAACAAAAAAATTAAATGTTACAGTACTGGTTGTGATTGTCCATCAATATTAAGTAAATTAAATAAATGTTGAAAGATAAAAAAAACACATTATCATTTGCAGTTTTATAACATTTGTTACCTGATAAGTCATTATTTACACACATATAAAGTTAACATATTTTATTCAAAAATTAAAAAAAAAACATTAAGATTTTAAAATATTTATAATATACACACATTATTTAAAGTACACTTGATTATTGCAATTATTTCAATACAACAACAATTTGCTGAAATATTTAATAGAAAATATTAGTCATCTATAAGTAAGAATAGATTATCACTGAAATTTTAATCAGGATAACTTTTAATCTTAATAACTTTAAGTAATTAAGTAAATAGTTACATCATTAATAGTAAAAATAAGATTATTACTTAAGTGGTCATTCGCATACAGTATTTATACATCCTCTATTTGGACGAATTGAAAATCTTGGGCTATGTGGTACTGTAACAGGCTTTTCTGATTTTTTTATTAAAATAGGTTTATATTTCTTAATTGGTATAGGTTTATGTACAGTTTGTTTTCTAGAGTTTTTCAATGCACGAATCTCTTCTTTTTTACTTTCTTCTTGCCTCTATAAAATAAAAACAAATTATTATTTTGAAAAAAAATTATTAATATAAAATAACAATATTTATTAATAACTTGAACTTAATTATAATTAATAGACTAACTTTTTTAGCCATTTCTTCATAATGTGAAAATTTTTCTTTTAACTCTTGTTCAAACACCATCCATTCTTTAGCGCGTCTTTCAGTATTAAGCTGTACATTTTTAGGCTCAGTATATTTTTTCTCATGTTTTGGTACAAATGGTTTTTTTTTAAGAACTGTAGCAGGACGTGCTTTAAACATCCATTGCTGAGGAATTTTAGTCTAAAAATTTTTGTTTGTCAATACTAATTTTTAATATTTAATTAATCACAAATTTACACTTGATTTAGCAATTGCGTATGATTTACGAGATTCAAAGCTGAAAGGTTTAGGAACTGTATGTAATTGTTTTTCTTGTACTTTAATACCACCATGGCCAAGTTCTTTATTTTCTACTACTTGAACGCCATCATGAGAATTGAGAATTTTAATTGATTGAGTTTTAGTAGACTAAAAAAAAATGATTTTCATAAAATTTGAAGTAAAATATTTATAATTTGATATAGTAATATGATAAAATATTATTTATAAGGCAAAAATAAAGTCCAATTATAAAATAATTAATTCAAAACTTTTTAGTTTTAAACCCAACTAAATTTTTTGAGTTTAATACACAGATTAACACAATAAATGTGTTTATAAATTAGATCTTAGGAAATGATTTTTTAAATTTATGTTGTATTGTTACTTTACTATTGTTTTCAATAATATTATTTTTTAATTTTCTAATGAACTATGAAAAATATATCTATCAATAAAATTATATAGTATGTGTGAACTCATTTAAAACCTAAATTAGGAAAACTTATAAATAATTCATTGATATAAATTCATATTGTTTAGTAAATATAAAACATGCAGTTACCACTTTTATAGAGCTTAAAGGATTTTGTGAGTTGAAATTGATATTCGGTAAATTTCTTCCAGAAATGTCTTCATGATCTTTCCTACATAAAATATTAATAAAAAACACATTTGATAATATAAATGTTAATATAAAAAACACACACCTTGACTGTTTTATTTCATTTATGTTGTCACCATTATTAAATGTACTAGATAAATTATTCATATCATTTGATGAAAATAAACAAACTGTACTTCTTGGTTTTAAAACGTTTGAACCTAATATGCATATATTTACAAAATAAAACATTGAATTAATTTTACAAATAAATTCTTTACAATATGCACTATAATTAAGCTACTCTTGTGTACAAAATGGATAAAATAAAATAATTTTTATCATGCAAACCATTGAACTTCACTTTTAAATTTCCAAAACATTTTATCCCTACTTAGTTTCTATATTTTATGCATGTATCTTAATTAAAAAATAAAATACTACATGTTGGAACTAGAAGAATAGAAATTCATGCATTAATAGAAAGCAGAAAATGTTTTTACCAAAGCCAACCTAAAAACTCACCAGACGAGACAGTGGGTTTAGAATGAAATCTAGGTGGTGTATCATTGAAGAAATGTCTCACTTTTTCAGCAATACTCATAAATTTTTTTGCACTTTTATTTAATATAATGCTTTCTTGCGAACCTGGTTTCACTTGTTCATATTTGTATTCAGATTTAACAACTGAACGAGAGCGAAGATCAAACTTAGGTGTATTCTCCAACTCATCTAATCTTGTAATCATGGCATGATGTTTTACTCGAGGTAATTCAACTTCAATACCTTCAACAGTTATAGAATGTCTATTATGTAGTTTTGAAGTTCTTGGTTTTTTTGCTGAACGAATTAATTGATGAGCAATTGAACTATAAATTCAAAAAAATATATTAACTTAATTTGCTTATAAATTAAATATTCAAAAACTTCTTTCCTAGCCCTTAAGAGTTTTTAACTGAATCAAGATATGCGCACAAATTATTACTAAATCAGTATGACAAAGACACCTAATAACAAATTAAATAAATTAACTAATGAAATAATTTAGGTTTCGATAATAAATAATAAGTTGATAATTCTATATAATATTTTATAAATAATATTAATAAGACAATATTCTTAAGTTGCCCAAATTCATACAAATATAAAAAATGATAATAGATTTAAAAATGTGTGTCCTTCAATTTTGTTAATGGTAACAAAAAAATAATTCCCTGACAATTTACTTAATCTTTAATTCCATTATTTTATCGATTGTTAAAAAAATGATAGAGTATAAAGTAAATTGAAAATAATGACTTTAACCAGCTTAAAATTGAAGGTAGGAGTAATTGTTGTTTTAAAAACAATGTGCAAGTACTTAAAACAACTATAGTAAAATTATTATTTTTATACATATTATTTCTACATTCCCTGTGGATAGGGGATAGGAATACTTCAACGGCTCCTCTGCCAGTCGTATGAGGCGACTAATAAGGTTGTGTCAGGTCGACAGCCGACGTAAAAATCTTTGTCAAAAAAAAGTATTGTCCCATTTCAGATGTACGCGGGAACAACAGAAAGCAGTTAAAACCGGAGAAGGCCCAAGGAATAAAGTGTTTGATACCAGCCGGACAACTTGTGCGGTAGCTGTTTCATCAGTCATCTGTACAGGTCTACCCAACGCTTATAGTGTCAATGGTGTAGGGACATCACCACTTAACTCTAGGCTGGACTCGTGTATAAGGGAGAAAGATAGATACAAAGTAAGAATAGGTTCTTGAAAGTAGAGAATTAGTAGAAGTATTAGGGTCAGTTATGCAGAAGAGTTGTGGTATTGACGAGGATGTAAGACACAGAATTAAGTGCGGGTAGTTGAAGTGGAAAGAAGTGTCTGGCGTCTTATGCGATAAAAGAATTCCAATGAGGCTGAAAGGTAAATTCTACAAGACTGTAATAAGTACATCTATGATGTATGGTTCAGAGTGTTGGGCGGTTGATAAGAAAGTAGAGCAGATAATGAGTCTAGCAGAAATAAAAATGCTTATTTGGATGAGTGGAGTGACTAGAAAAGATAGAATATGGAATGAGCAAATAAGAGGGAGTATAAGTGTAGCGTCAATCGTGGATAAGATGAGAGAAAATAGACTTTTAGATGATTTAATCATGTTATGAGAAGAGAAGAATCGGAAGCTGTAAGAACAGTTATAGAAATGAATGTTGAAGGAAAAAGAGGTAGAGGAAGACCAAAAATGAGATGGAGGGATGCTGTTGAATGCGATTTGAGGACAGCTGATGTGAGCGTAAATGATGTGGGAGATTGTATCAACGGGAAGATTAGGATAAGGGTGGCGACACCAAGTAGTTGGGATTAAGGCGAGGAAGAAGAAGAATGACTTCAATATTTTGACAGATAAGTCAAATTTAGGAAATTTTTCGGCAAAGTTGATGAAAAATGCTAGTCAAAAAATGATAATGTGTAATAATAATAATGATAAAAAGTAGTAGTTACTGTTTTTTTATAAACTTAAAGTATAACAACTTTTCTTTTAAATATTAATTTTTCTAGAAATTTTAAACTTTTAAGTATTAATTTATAAGACTCATTCAACAGTCTATATCCTAATTAAAACTCCTGAAAAACTACATACTACCTTACCATTTCAATTGAAAGTTAAGATGATTAATATTTTATTAATAATTAATTTATAAATTATCATACTTTAAATTGTGTTGATCAAATACATCATCAGGTGCAAAGTTTTCTTTATTTTCTTCATCGTCTTCATCAAAAAGTGATTCTTGTTTTATAACTTCCAAGCTAGGTTCAGATTTAGCACCTCCCATTTTTTCAGCAATTAAATCTAATAAATTATATTATATATAAAAAAATTATATTTATTATATATTGAAGATATTCTTATTCATTATCTATTATGTTATGTGAAAAAATCATTTAAATTATTATTAATACTTTTTAATAACTATTTATGTATATCTTATGTTAAATATTGGTATATCAGTTTAGTAGATTTTAAAATAATAAGTTATGGTTACAATTTAAAGATTCTAGGCACATGGAATTATAGTTTTCTGAAGACTTTTTATAATTCTAAGATAGATCAATTGATGATAAGTAATGTTTATTTAAAAAAAAAATGTTTTTTTTAAGATTTATAATTAATTAAGCCAAAGCACTATACAAAAATTGTTCCATATCAAAGCTAAAACATTTTTTACACATATTTTCTATGTAGCGAATATTTTACTTAAACTATTTAGAAATACTAACTGTAAAAAAAATTCAACTCTATTTTAATTTTTATATTAATATCATTTGAATATTATTATACTCAGTGGTGGTCGAATTGTTTTGCAAAAAGAGAGGATGAAAAACCTTAATAATAATTATCATTATGTTACATCCCAGAGCTTTTTTATTTATATTTTTATATCAAAGTGTTATTAAGAACTATTAGATATTCATAAATTTCTCTTTTCTTATTAAGCCTATTTCAAACATTTAATTTATTTTAGAATATTACTTCATTCAAAGTACCTATGTATAAAAAATAACCAAGATTTAAAGTTTAATTCCCTAGTTTGTAGGATTAATAATTTATTTATATTAAATATGATTAAATAATTTTAAATTGAATTAATAAATATAATGAAAATTGTACAAAAATGTCAAACAGGTAGGGTATGTCATATGGGGAATCTATCATTTGACTGCCACTGAGCATACTATAACTTTTGAAAATTAAACTTAAAAAAATTGTTTATGTCATGAAAGAATCTATGTCTTTTACCATCCTTGAAATATGACATAAAACTATGGTCTCAACAAATTATTTTATGTTATATACTTTCAGAGTTGGAAAGTAATTGGCACAATTGAAAAAGTGACTTAAGTGATTAGTTTTAAAAATGTTTAGAAAATGACTAAATTTTTAATAATGATATTGATACATGGAATAATTTGAATTTATACAATTATTACCATAAAGTTTTTTGACAAGGTATTAATTACAAGTATTTCTAAAATTTGTGTTTATCTATTCTCATTATTGTAATATTTTTGTTGGGTATATTTCAAATACTAATTTAATAATAATTAAAAATTTTTTATTAAATAAAATTAATTTAACTCGATAAAGTACATCTTTAAGACAAGAAATTTAAATAGTATTTGAATATGATGTTAAAGTATTGAGATGTTGCAGCCACGATTATTAACAACTGACCCTTTTATTAAATAATTTTATTGATTCATTAAAAAAAAATGTTTTTTTTTTCATATTGTACATTAATTACAAAAACATTTATAATAAATCCACTGACAACAGGTAGTAAAATGTAAAATCTCTAGAGAAGCTAGAATAAATTATTTAATTAATTAATGGTATTATATTATAACTAAAAAAAAATTAGAGGTATACAACATTGAAACCTCATGTTTGCCCAAATTACTAAATGTGTCTAAAATAATTAAATTGATGAGCAAGTCATTTTTTGAGCCAGTTATTATGGTGACACAGGTTGAATTTTAGTATTAAACAACTAAATTTGATAGTAGTAAAACGAGTCTAGTTCAATGATAATTTAACTTATTCATTTTTTTTTTTTATACTTTTAACTATTAGCATATTAGGAAAGTGCTTGTAACTCTTTATAAGATACACTTATATTTTTTAAAACACAAATTTCACTAAATACTTCATAAGCTTATTTTACAATAGTCCAAGTATTAATTAAAAAGAAACTAAAACTTTAATAAATTTTGTCACATTTAAAAACATCTCAATAGTAATAATAAAATATGTGATAACACCATCACAATACCAAGTAAAACCCCTCATTTATTTAATATACAGCATAATTTTCTAATAAAACAAACTTATTTAATGTTAATTATAATAAAATAACAAACTTAAACGATTTCAACTAAAAAACATAAATATCAGCTATAAATTACAACTCTGTATTTTGAAAAAACAAACTTGTTTAGTTAATACTAAAACACTTAAAAATTTGCATATATTCTGTTATTAGCATACACACATTTGTGACCATTCAGACTTATTAGGTTTTTGTTCCTTTCAGTTCAAGGGCTAGAGTTCATTTTCTCACAAGAGTAATGGTATCATATGTTTTAGATGTTGACAGTTGTTCAGGACGATGGTCATCTTCAATGGATATCCGACCTTCTTTAAAACATTTGAACCATTCAAATCTATTTCCAAAAGCCCATTTAATCAATTCAAAAATTTCCCATAGCATTTTTACTTATTTTGAAACAAAATTTGATACACGTACATTGCTCTGTAATATTATCCATCGTGAAATCGCGATTTCATACAAAACGACCAACTTTGAACGTGTATTGTCAATGACTGATTTGAGATAATGATTATTATTATATACTAAAATAATAGTTATTATCTCTAATTTATTTTGGTATAATAACATTACCGATAACATCAAACGTTTTTCTGTAATAATTTTAGTCTGGGTATTTATTGAACACACCTCATAAATGCATAAAAATATAGGTAACTTAATTATTTAACTATTAATAAGAATTTTAAAAGAGTACATTTCAGAAACAATCTCTTATGAGTTACTTCTTAATACAAACCTTCTATACAAGTTGTTCAATAAGTAAAGAAAAGGGTTTTTAATGTTCTCATTAATCATAATAATTGATGTTTCCTTATATTTTGTACACCTTACATTTTCTACTATGTATATATTTATAAAATAATAATTAACATACCAAAAAATTTGTCAGCTCCGTCATCTTCGGCGTTGGCCATTTCATATAAATTAGTAAAAGTCTTAGGGGCATCAAATTCAAACACATCGTTTTTATCCATTTTATCTATAATTTAAAAATTATATACTAATTAAATTTTTATTTTTTAAGGAAATAAAGTAGATTTAATGAACTCGCCACATAAAAAATTTACACTGGTATAAAATTAATATTTTACTATGGAGTCGTTAATACGATGACCAAAATCGAATAACTGAAAGTAAATAAAAAATATTGTTGAAGAAATTCAGGTTGATAAAAATACTTTAATAAAATAAGATTGAAAATTAAGTCAGATTTGTAATGGATCAAGTCTAGTAACTCATTTGATTGTTTTGTTAAATGGTTCTATACACATTAAATAAGACATTATATTTACTGAAGGTATGTGTATTTCAACCGTTTATGTTTATCAACTAGTGAGCCGTTATTACAATTTTTCGAACAAACGTTGATTTTATTGGTTGCTGAAATTCATTGCTACCAACTTACATAGTTTTGATTATAATGTGAATACATTATACATTCACCTTAGTTGTACTTCAGTATACCGTAGTATACAATATCAATGAAATATAACTAATCTAGAAAATATATTTTCAGAAAATTATTTTCTGGATTAAAATTGGTTTTATTTTTACTTAATTTTCAAAAATGTTTTCTTTAAATACCAAAAAAAGGTACCCAACCATAAATAACCTTGTTTTATAAAAATATTATGATCCTAAATTTTTTCCAATTATTGATAAAAACGGATAGCGATTTTAAAGTAAAAAAAAATTAACTATTTTTAACATTGGCGTCACTGAATTGAACCAGTATTTATATTAGAAGAAAAAAAATTAATTAAATTAATAAAAAAATATTTTAATTATCAAAAAAACTACTATTTATCAGATAAAAATATTGGATGTATATAGATATTGATTTAAAGCGCGAACGTTAGGAATCATTGTCAAAATCTGAAAACAAAAAAGAATTTTATCATACTTTGGCCTTATTTAACCCAATTTTAATGTATTTTTTTTTTTATAATTACAATTAATGGGTTTTTTTTAAATTTTGAAAATGATAAGTTCAATTAAATTAAATCCTGGGCTCTTTTATTGTACAGAATAGCAAAACTAGTTTTGTAAGTGTTAAATCATTTTATTGGCAACTATAGACAAAAAAATCCAGCACAGTGGGGAAGTGACATAGTTGGGTCCAATATAGATTTAATCTGACAGTGATTAAAATCACTATCATAAAAAACGCTTCATTGCAAATCTGTAGATAATGTTTAATTTTAAAAATTTGGTGGATTATTCCAAAAGCAAGATGATCTCCTATTTCCTTATTTATATCCTGATTACAAGTTTTATGATTCATAAGCGTAATATATGAATAAATATTTATTACAACAATTAAATATAGTATTGAATTCATATTTAATAATTTAGTATTGTAATTTTTTACAAAAATCGTTAATTTTTATTAACTTTGATGTCCGTTTTCACCATAAAAACGTTATATCTGAAAGTCCGAAATTTTTTTTTTTTCATGTTAAAATATATTACATAAACTTTAATTTAAGATATATATATAAGTGTTAGTATTTCCGGAACACTTTCAAAAATTAAGTTGAAAAAGTTCTACTTTCTATATGCATTTTTAAGTTTTGAACCCCTCTGTATAAAGGGAAATGGTCTGACTTAAAAAAGAAGTATTTCAAATGAAAGAGGTATGTAAATAGTATTTATCGTTAAAAAATTGTAATGATCCATACATTTTTCAAAAAGTTATAGCAATATAAATTTAAAAATATAAAAAATTTTTTTTACAAAAATCCTATTTTTTTTTATTAACTTTGATGTGCGTTTTCACGATGAAAATAAAATAAAGTCCGAATTTTTTTTTCCCATATTAAAGTATATTACAGAAGCTTTAATTTAAGATATATATAAAAGTGTAAAATAAAAATTAAAAAATATAGTAAAATTAATACCTTCTCAACTTCGCAACGAAACTAAAACACATAGTAAAAGCAATACCTTGTTAACTACTATCAAAGGTAATATAATTATAGTCAGTGGTAGCTAGTGAACCAAATAAGTGGCATGGCAAATTTTTTTTTGTCGCTAGATAGCACTAGGGAGAATATGAAGAATTAGCCCCACAAAAATCTCAAAAAATTATATTCAAACTAATATAAACATATTATATCATACTTAAATATATTTTTATAGAGGAAGTACAAATTTATTAAGCACCCTTAAAAAATTATTTTAGTTGCGCCTTATAGAGAGAGGGGAGAAATACTTATATTTAACTAACAAGTAAGTCATCTAAGTATTCTAAAAAAACAAAAATATAAATAAACTAAAAATAAAATTTGTAAAAAGTCAAATTATTAAAAATATAGGAAGTCTTATTATTTTATTTCTGATAAATTAAATTAATTCGTCTGACTTCTATATAGTAGTGAAAATTATCAATAATTTTGTCGTAACATTGACTATTATTATTAAACAATGATAGTCCATTTTTTCAAAATTTTACAATTTTATTTTAAGAACTTTTCTATCCAAAAATATTAATAGAGCAAAAACAATTTTAAAACAAATGGTGATATAAGGCGGAGTGGGTACAACTCATATTGGTGTTATAATAGTTTATAATGTATAAGTTCTCTTGTTACAATCGATAGTAATCTGATACATCTTTTTTAAAGTGTCATAGTATCACTTTTGTCTTATGGCAAAAGTAAGCTTTAAAAAACGGTTATTTTGAAATGTTAAAAAATAAATATAATTTTATCGTAGTCTTAGAAAACATAAATATATTAGCAAAATGTTAATTGTTTCAAAAGTTACAAGAGTTTTTATTTTATCTGGTCCATCTTGTATATTATATTTAGATTTTATTTGTCTAGAAAGAAAATAGTTAATGTAAATTTTTCACAACAAAACTTTTAGATAATATCAAATTTATAACAGGCTGAAACTCGCGAAGGGGATACGTTTACTTTGCGTCGTCTATGTGTATTTAATTATTTGCAAGTAATGAAAAATCTGTATGTATTTATTTTACTATATGTAAAATATTTAAAACTTGATAAAATTGATTAGTGTTATTACCACACGAGAATTATAGTTAATCATACGCGGTTATTATAGCATTGTCTTTTAATAAAATGATCAAACTACGCTACCGAGTTGAAAAAACTGGCTCCTAGTGTTATCATAGATACAAAATTTTGAATTCTTTGATATAGCGATATTTGATACTTTTTGTTATCCTCTCGGAGGCAGGTAAAATAGTGAGGGATGAATACATAATACACCACTATAATTTGATAATAAGTAAAAAAATTCCGTTACCCTTGCTTCCATTCCAAACTGAAAAAAGTTGTAGGTAGGTCCGATTTGAGACTTGTAATCCTCAAATAGAACGTATATTCTATGGCATTTTTACAAAGCACGCCCCTATAGCACACATTGATACACATTTACTAACGTTACAATCGCACACGTCAATTTTAATTATGATAAGAAATTAATATTTAGCGTATTCGAGGTAAATTTTGAATATTAAAACTTTAGGTATTAGCATTTTTTAAACTTACTCTCTTGAATATTCCGATAGCACGACCTAATACCAATAAATTATTAAAACACCCATTTCTTGAACAAGTTTTATAAGACCATCTTACCTCATAGTTGAGGAAAGATTACAAATTTTTAGGAAAACTCATATTTTGTCACTTAGAAGATGAAAGATACAATTTTTTTCCATACAGAGTGGAAAGTTAAAAATTTTATGTATATCACCTCCTAAGACGAAATCGTAATTATGCCACAAAGTTAAATCCTCTAAAAAGGTTATAGCTAGGGAAGCTAAAAACAGAGTTGGAAAAATCGGAAAAAATGAATATAAATTAGTAATTGGTGCCGTTACTTCAATTTACCCCTTTTCAAGAAATGTATAACAGAACGGGATCATCTGATATGGCTCGCGTCTAGTCCATTTTATCTTAGTTCGTGATGGGTACAATAGTGTATTCAGAGTATTAAAGGGTCAAGGATAGAAAACGCTTTGAATACCAATAAAATATACATGCCACTATTATGGTATTTTAAAATTCTGACAAACATTAGCCTTTATGGCAAATAAAATTCAAATAAAGATCCTGAAAATATTTTTAGAGTGCACTAACTTTTTTGTAATTCATCAATATATATTATAATATAAAAAGAACACATACATTTAAAAAATAAACAAACATAAGTTTATTTTACATTGTATTTTATTACAATTTTTAAAGAATTTGAAATAACATTAGTTTTTATAAACAGTTAAAGTACATATATATTTAAAAATATCTGTACAAGAAAATATAGGCTACATGAAGCTCTTATTAGCAGCCTTACTCCTAAACTACATTTTCGGACAAAAATAATATATCCATAAATCACAGTCAAATTAGTTTATTTCCATTTACCAGTTAATACAAGTATTTAACTAATCTGTAACACTGTACAACAAATGAATATAAATAGATAACAATACAATAACTTTTTACTGTCATAAACAATCAAAATGGAAATAAACTTTCTGTATTAAAAAATAGTTACTTAACTATAATGTTTTTTCTTTTCACCAACATCAAATTATGAACTTTAATTCATTTATCATTAATTAATATTAATTCATAATTGAATTAGCATTAAATTTTAAAGGAGTGAGCCTGCCATATAATTCGATAATTTAATTTTTATCGAAGAACGTCATAGCCTGACCCACAAGAATATCACAGACATATAGGCCATTTGGCGAAATTCCAACTAAAATGTATACATCTGATACGCCATTTTTATCAATTATATACATTATAACAGTAACAAAATTCAAGTAAATGGTCTTAATTAAAAAAAAATTTCCATCATAGTCACATAAAAGAAATAAAAGAATTGTTCAAGTAAAACTATTGTCTTAAGGCAATAGACAACATTATAGCTTATTTAAGAAATTCCTTGGGTCAGACTTAAAATTTACTTAACTAAAATATTAACGACTAAATAGCTATATAAAATATACAATTAATTATATTCCTGCCTGAATAATTATTTTTAAATTAATTTAGTAGGTTCAGTTATATATATAAAACATAAATAAAAGGCAAATTAATTATGAAATTTTGTAATAATTTTACCATAGCTTAGTTAAATAACAATAAAGTTTTATTTTAATGAAATATAACTATATGATTTAATCAAAAAAAGTCTGTATCATTTTATGGATAAAAATAGTCAATAAAAAATTCTTTCTTATTTAATGCTAAAAATATTTTCATGAAGTAATTTAAAAACTATTAAATAAATAAATCTTTCTAGTTACTTTTAACATTTTAAGACCAAATTATATGAATAAAAACAATGCTCGCTGCGAAGTATCAAAAACAGCCACTTATCTCAGAATCAGACAGATTTATAATTACACTAAATAAACCAGATTTGGTCGAATACAAACAATAAAAATAACCATTATAAAGATAGTAATATACAAAAATAAAAATACATAATACTTACTATTATGTACAAAAATCAATAAATTAACAAAAAAGTATGTTAATAAAAAAAGTAAGCTTTTTAGATGGGTCAATTTCACAATAAACTCAATATACTGTCTGTTCATGACCAATATTACCATAATTAGTCAAATATGATTCAATACATGTAGTACTTGTGAAACTTGTTCTGTAAATATAAAGTCTTTTATTTAATAGTATTTTGTAAATATGAAATTACAGCTTTAAATATAATTTTTAACAAAAATTCTATCATAGACATATTAACAAGATAATTTATTCAAAATACTCCCATAATTATAAAATACCCACAACAAAAATTATTTCCTATGAAAAAAAATTCATTTTTAAAATACTTAAATAATTCAAGATTGTTATTTTTTCCCTTATAAGTTACTTTTATAAGTAATTGTATTTCATGCTAAAAACGCTAATTTAATAAAAAAATGTAATGTAATTGATAATAAGCTTATGATGGAATGATTAGTTAATACAAAACATGATAATTTAGTAAATCAAAAAAATGTTCAGATAACTTACAAGATAAAAGTAGTATGCCCATATTTTACCGTATCCTTCTAACAGGTTTCAAAATTTTTCTTTTAGTTGGTGGTTCTGAGGTTTCTGGCTGAGCACTAACATACATCAAATAAAATTAGTAACACTACTCATTCACTTATTTAATAATTACCCTAAGAAAAATTCTATAAAATATATTATTATTTTATTATTGTGTTGACACTCCTAGGGCAAAAGTACAGACAAATATATACAAGTTTCATATACTAATTATAAATAAAAATTATAATTAAATACATAGTAAACTTAGAATTTATAAAAATATCCTAACATAAAAAAGGATATAAATATATAAAGATAATTATTAGTTAAACTCATAAAATACACGAAAACGTAAATCATATATAGTACAATTGAGAAGTATTTACTTTTTATAAACATTTTTATTCAAACATCAGAATTTCATTATCAAAAAAATAAGCAGGATAAAATTTTTAGCAACATTATTTTGTCAAATAAATATTAAAGCTATGTAATATTTTTATAATTACCCATTGTAATTAAAAATTAGTTTTTATAGCTAAAAATGATTAAAATAGTATAACGCCTATTTACTATTGTTGATGTTTGACTACACTATTATTTGAATAAGTTAGCATTCTACCTTTATACAAATTAAGTCATACAAAAAGTAAATGATTTTTATAATTTATTTTTTACATTTACCAATTATACAATGCTAAAACTGATGTAGATTTTGGATATAAAATATTCAATCTAGCCATTTTTTTTTTATTAGTTACACAAGTTTTTCCATTTATCTTTTAAATATTTATCAAATATTTTTTTTGTTCATCCCTTTTAACTTTATTATTTCAAATAGCAACATACATAATTAACTAGCTCATTCATTAGATTATGATCTAATTAAAACAGGTCAATAACAACATTTGGATCAATATTTCAGAAATTGTGCACATTTTTATACCTAAAGCAAAGTGAACCCGAAGAAAGACAGTGATAGCATCTGTGCCTCACCTCCATTTATTACTTTAAATATTTTATAACATCATTTTTTATTTTATAAAATAGATAAATATGTATGTTGCCATTAAAAACATTAAGTCAACGCCTTTATAAGATATAAGGGATGGCCAGTGATAAAAAAAACCTTATATTAATTAGTACGAAATTAAAAAATGTAATTTCTTAAGACCCTTATAAATTCTTAAGGCTTTTGAAAAATAAATGTAATGAAAAAAAAAAAAAAAAAGATAAACAAAATTGATATATAAGGTTTAGCCATTCAACTATTAATTTATATTTTTATAGCTACCATATATTAAATTAAATGATATATACAAAATATAAACTTACGTAAATTGAGTTCTTGTGCCACCAGTAAAATTAATTGATATAGGTGCATTTGGATCCAGTTTAACAGCTGTTTTAGTAGTTGCTTGGCCAAATAAATTTGAGGAAGTCTTTGGTTGATCAATTGTCTATAATAACGAAATAAGTTAAAATCATGGAAAAATTAAAGTTGATATGGATTAATTACTTGAATGAAAGGTTTCGAGTGCGTGTCAGAATTAGATACACTAAATACAGGTTGAGATTGGGAACCAAATGAAAACATACTGTTACTCATTGTGGTAAAAGTATTTGAAACCTGATTTCCAGATTTTTCATCATTTACCGACTTTGAGAAAAAATTATTTGTTGGTTGAGTAATAGATCCAAAGGTAAAACTAGATACTGGAACAGTAGAATTAACTGTTGATGAAGAACTTGTTGCACTACCAAACAATGGTTTTGATTGATTACTGGTTCCAAATACAGGTGTAGAAACACCAAAATTATTGGATGTAGAGATTGGTAAACTAAATGGATTGATTTCTGTTTTAGTTGACCCAAAAGAAAAAGATGGTATTTTTCTTTGTTCATCTAATGGTGGTACAATTTGTTCTGGGTTAGCCAATGAGCCAAAAGTGAACATCTGAGAAGTTTTAATTAAATTTGGAGTACTTTCATTAGTAACTTCGTTAGATTGTGCATGACCGTTTACTATTTGAGCTGTAATTGCATTACTCTGTGAAGATAATTTAGATGATGACATACCAAAATTGAATTGTTTGGTATCAACTTTGTCTTTCTTTTCGTCGTGTGAAATTTTCTCAGTAGATGATTCTTCAGTTTTTTTTTCTTCCACATTTGAAGATGAATTTTTTAAATTATTATTGCAATTTGATATAACAGTTCCAAAATTAATTTGAGAATTAGTTTTATTAAGTTGATTAATGGGATCAAAAAACTGATTATTTGTACCATTTTTTAAATCAACAGATTTAGGAGAAGAATCAGTTTTATTATTGAAGAATAATTTCAACTGATTAGTAGGTTTCTCAGATGTACTACTCTCTTCACATGTAGGTTTTGGTTGTTTATCAGATTTCTCAGGTTCAATATTTCCAGAACCAAATTTAAATTGCATAATAGGGGTATTAGATATATTACTTTGTTTAGAAACTTGTTTATCAGAATGATCTGACTTATTGCTAAATCCAAACATGAATTTATTAGTCGGTTGAGTAGCATTATTGCTATTAGATAAACTGTTAGTATTATTTATGGCATCATTCTTGTTTTCAACTCCAAACTTAAAAGTTCCAAAAGATGAGTTTTCTGTTTTAGGTGAATTAGTATTTAATTTAAAACCACTAACAGGAGACTCAATTTTTTTATTTTCAAGATCATTATTCAATTCACCAAATTTAAACTGATTTACAGGTAGTTCACTTTTACTATTATTTAGTCCAAATTTAAATTCACTCGTAGGCTCATTTATTTTACTATTATCAAGTCCAAATTTAAATTTAAAACCACTATTATCCAACTTGTTGTTATTTAGTCCAAATTTGAATTGAGATGTAGATTGTAATTTATTTTCTAAATTTGAATCTGTTTTTTTTGTTCCACAAGAAATACATGAAACATCTTCATTTTTATTAATTACCCAACATTCATTACATTTCCAAGAAGATGATTTTTGTGCTGACGTTTTTTTGGTTACTCCTGATTTTAATGATTGACAAGCAACACATGTATCATTTTCACTTTTATTTGGCACCCAACAAGTTTCACAAGTCCAAGTGCTAGGTTTGCATAATTGTAATGTTTTTTGAGTAACACCCGCTTTGGGTGTTTGACAAGCTATACAGTTAACTTTATCACTATCATTAGATACCCAACATGTGTCACATGACCAATTTTTTATAGTATTAGCAGTCACACTCAAAACATTTTTTTTATTTGACTCAAGTGAAACTGGTGATTTGCTAATAAAAGCACTAGAAGATAAATTAGATGATTCCATTTGAGAACTAGAGTTCATGTTAATTTGTTTACTTGCATCATTAAATTTAAATGATATAGGTATTTTATCAGATTTTATGACAGCTATAGTTTCAGTATCATTTTTAGAATTATTACTAGATTTTGTTTCTTGAGAAATTGGCTTACTAGAGGAATCAGATATATTTTGATTGCTTATCTTAGTGTTAAATAAATTAATTGATTTTTCATACTTAACTTCTGGTGTATTATTATGTGTTATAAATGTTTTTTCTACAACCTGTTCAGTAAACTGTTCTAATGTTAACGGTTGATTAAATGTAAACTCATCATCAGAATCATCAGAAGTTAATTTAATACTTGGTAATATAGGTACTGATAAAGAAACATTTGGTAATTCAACTTTTGATGGCAATTCGAATTCATTGGATTGCAAGCCTCTTGATTTTTTTGATATATTAGCCCTTAATTTCCTGTTAGTATCTCGACTAATATGCCTAAAAAAAAAAAAAAAAAAAAAAAAAAAAAAATAATAATAATAATAATAATAAAAATAATAATAATAAAATGAAATATTGTATGTATAATTAAGGAAAAATATCATGAGAAAATCTTTTAAAAAGAAATTATTGTATCAAATAATATACAATTTGAATTAACAAAATGAACCTATCTTTAAATAATTATTTTATTTTTGTTAGTAAATGCTCATAATTAAAAAAAATTATTAATTAAAGTGCATAAATATATCCAAGTATTGAAAGTATTAAAATATTAAGTATACATATTTATGTAGATTAGCATTATAATACTTACTGGATATCAGTTGTTTGGGACTCTGATTTTTCTGGAGAAATATCAATAAGACAAACTGTTGTTTCTGCTTTAATGGGGATAGATTTTTTTTCTGCTCTATGTCTTATATTTACTTTAGGTTGAATAATATATTTATTTTCTTCAATTACTTTGTCCTGTAAAATATTAATTATTATTTTATATAAACTTTTTAACGAGTAAGTTTTTTAATTTGAAACATAGCTTGCTAAGAACAATAGTAATTTATTTCCAAAAATGCTCTTTTTAGATAAAATTACAATATCTCCCTACTGGTAACACTAAGTGATTTATTTAAAAAATCACCTTCGAGACAATTACATTTTAGCAGGAATTAGTTGAACAATAAAAGCAATTGATATTTTATATACAGTAAAATTAAACCATTAACTAATGGTATGCTTATTCTTTTTTCGACAATTTTGGAGTTAGGTCACTATTGGTCACAGCAGACAATATTAAATAGTTTAATTTGATTCACAATAGTCAATTTTTTTTTATAAATTATAAGATATACTTAAAATAATAATTGAAACTACAGAATACTTCAAATATTTCTGAAAGCCACATAAAAACTTTAAGTAAAAACCTCAAATTCATACTTTGATGCTGTGTTATAATGATGTTATATAAAGTTATAATGATCAGTACTAAATAATTATTGGTCATCATTATATAATTATTTAAAATACTATTTTGTTTATTAATATTTTAATTAAAATAACTTTTTTCAATGAATGCATTAGTTAATAGGATTTCTTTTTTAAATATAGGAGTTTTTAGCTCTGTTTGAACATTTTAAATTAATTTTAGTTATCTAAAGGACTATAGTAATAATTACTATAATTCTGCAACATAGAAAAAATAATTATTCCTAGTGTAACATTATAGAGGTTATTTATATTTATAATTTATTTATTAATAAGAGGATATTATTTTTTGGATAATAACTAAGTGTATTCAATAATTAATGTTAACATTAATTTTACATTATTAATTATATTTTACATTAAACAGTGTTAACATAAATATATATATATGTGTATACAGACCTTGGCTGACATATGCTTCAATAAAATAGACGATGTAGTCCTAATTTCATTATTAGTAGCAGGAGAAATTGGAAGGATAGCTTTTCTATGAATTGGAGGTGTATTACCAAGTATTTTGGATAAGTTAGAATGTGCCGAACCTCCTCCATATACAACTTGAGAACAGTTTAACGGAGATTTTTGGGCGAACAACTTTTGGCGTTCTGATAACTGAAAAATTGCAACAGCAATTTAAATTTAAAATAATAAAAAAAGATATTAATTTATATATTAATTAAATATCTGTATATTAACTATAAATGAACAAATGTTCCTATTTATAGTAATAGATTTACACAATTAAATTTTTTTTAAGAAAATAAATAATTTAAATACAAGATTTCATCTAAAGAATACTTACCTCCCCATAATTGACAAAAGTATCCCATCGAAATGATGGGGATGAAGTACGTTTAGATGCGTCTCCAAACTTTATTAAGGAATTTGAGTCATTATTTTCTATAATCAATTAATAATTAATTTTATTAATATCAATAAAAGAACTAATATATTTAAACTTACTTAATTTCATAATATGTTTTAAAGAAGGTGGTGTAGAAAAATCATTAGTTATGGATGATCTGTCTGAAGTATAAGATTTTTTTAGATCTGTAAATAAATTAAAAATAATTCATGATTATTTTTAACTCATGGTAATATATTGACTCATGGTCAAGAATAAAATAAAATGAATTGTAAATAAATAAATAATCAAAAGTGACATACATAACAAATATAAGAGTTCAAAAACTATATTATAAAATAAGTTTTCATTGGTAATATTTATAAAAAAAAAAATATAACTAAAAAATGGTTTCCATTTGATTTTTCAAATTTTTTTTTTAAATACTTATATTTTCAGTTATTTTTGAGAAAAGGTCTGTGTCTAAAGTTCTAATCACCTTGTATATGTTTATTTTTTTTAAATATTTACAAATAGCTTAATAAGAAACCTAAAGTATTTGTCATTTGGACAGCAAATCAAAAAAGTGTAGCCCTGTCAATTTAAAGTGGTAATATTTAATATACTGGTACTAGAGTAGAACTTGTATTTTAAATGAATTCATTCAACTGATAGGTTAAATCAAAGTATTTAAATATGGATTAAATATAAATGTTTTCATAGAAAAAATTTACTTATGTTTGAATTAGTTGATTTATTGGTAGATAATAAAGCTGGAGTTGAGGATGCAAAGTTAAAAGCTGCTGGTTTTGATGGAGATTGCTGATTAATATTGGAATAATCAGTTTCTTCAGACTTCCTTTTTAAAGGATCTATAAAATAAATTTAGTATAAAATTATTTGTGTGTTAACATTATTATCTATATTAATAATTATTAGTATTACCTATAAATATTAATAAAGTTGTAAAGCATACCTTATAAACCTAGTAACAATTATTATCTATCATCCCAAAAAAATGTGTGAAATTTTTATTAGATGATAAACAGTACCAAAATTTGTTATTTTTTAACATTTTTTAAGTACATATATGAATACATTTTTTATATTAATTAGTATTAATTGACAGTACAATAATTGAATACTTAAAATATATTAAATCGTAAATCATTATTTTAAATAAAAATGATTGAAGTGATAAAAATCAATGCCTTATATTAATTACTTATAAAATAAAACTTACTATTAACCACATTTTCTCTAAATGTAGAATTTGTTTGATTTGTAAATGATGGATATTGTTTAATTGTGCTAGATGTATATGGTACAGAAATTCCAGAATTTTGAATGGTTATATCTGGAAATAAATAAGAAAGAACATTAAACCATAATGAATAGATAATGAAAGACTTGAATTACTTGAATTCTTATGTTTATCAGATGAGTTGGATAATTCAGTTGTATTAAGATCAGATCTGTTAGTACATTTTATGAAAGTGTTATTTGGAGTACAAAGTTTTTTTACTGGAGGTTGCTCATCATATTCACTTGTTGATGGATCATTGTTAGATTGCGTGTCTTTCAATAGTTTATTCATCCATGTTGTGCCGGGTATAAGTTCTGACACACGTTTTGTGACCCTTCGCATAAACGACTGAAATACAGGATCATTATCAATCATACACATTAACTACTGTGACTTAAACCATGTGATAAACACACAAACTGGATTATTCAAAAAGTCAGTGAAGGTATATAAGGTACGGAGTACAGTAGTAAAATAAGAACAAAAAAAATTAATTAAAATTAAGAATATTTTAAAAAAATATCAAATCATTAAGGGTTGATATATTGGCGCGGGTTTTGGCAATGATAATAACGTTGCCATTGTCGAAGTTTAGGCAAATATTACTTACATTCGATTTATCGTAAGGTTTCATGGTGATTAGTTTTTTCAGCGATTTACGATCTACAAATATAACGACCGCACATATATTAACGACAGCCACATTTTTAAAAGTAAACGCACACGTTCACGGAATTTTATCTTGCTAAATAATTGTTAACGAAAATACACACTCGGCTAGAAGCGTAGAAACATGACGGCCATGATGGATAAACTAGATCAGCGATCAGTCGTTGCGCGCTTTCTACAGTGTAGCCAAGATTAATATCACGTTGTCTAAATTGCATAGCTTACTGAGTATAATTAATATTGACAGATCGCGCCACATTAAGAAACAGAAAGGCGCGAGAGAGTTCTGCCAAAATATACACCTGCTCTCGATTCTGTTCACCGGTTCACCGGGTGAGTTAACTTTCGGATTTTTCTCTAAATCTTCAGTTACAATTGTTATACCGTCTGTTGTTGTTGTGTGTTCCGCGTTCACGGACTGGTTCGTGCACGATAGTTTTTCATAATCAAATGAGTGTCGATTTATTTTATTTTATTGTAGTGTTAGTGTGAAAACTTTAGCTAGCCGTTTTCTTTTAGAAAGAATTAGGAATTTTTTTTTTCACAATGCGACTGTTACTTTTGGTCATCTTAGCTACCACTGGTAAAAATTAGTTAATATAATCACATATATTTAGGATCCGATGAAGACCCATGTAGTTAGGGTGGTACCTTGAGATGAATTTTGAATTTGAATTATATCAAATTGGAAATTATTTCATAACATTACCTATTTTAAGAAAAAATTTTAAGCTTTGATTTGGTTCTCATACTTATTTTCCTTGGTATTTTAACTTAGCAAGTATCATAGTGTAAATTAACTACTAACTGACAGCGTTATTACCATTTTTTACCATTTTCTATTTATAATTGTGGCGTAAAAAATGATTTTAAAACATCAATTTTTCTTATTCCAGACGTAAAGGGAAATATCAAACCACAAATTCATGGTTAAATATTTCTTATATTTGACATAAGAGTCCTCACCTTTCAAATTTGTAATTTTTTAGCATACTTAAGTTAAGACAATTTTTATTTTTACTATTTATTTATTTTACAGACTGTAAATGACAATATAGAGATAATTATAATAATTTTTGATATTTGATTAGTTGAAAACAATTTTCTACATATAATCAAACAGATTTTAATTTGTCGAATTTTTATAAGTTAATTTAGTCCTATGAAATTTTATCATTAAAATGTTTGTATCTAAAATGTTTTTTGTTAATACACGAAAATATAAAATTCAGAAAATAAAAGTTTAAGTATAATATTTTTTTTTACTAAATTATTTTGGAGATTCTCTGAATAATTCTGTCTAGATACGTACGTTGGGTAAAAAAATATATATTTTTTTAATTGTTATCAACTATTATCAATTGTAGTCTTATATTATATATTTTACGTAGAATTAGCTTCAATTTATTAGTAAAAGAATTAAAACAAACTAGCCTTTTTTAAAATTCAGATTGTAGGAGAAGTCTCTAATTATAGTAGCGAAACAAAAAAAAAATATAAGTGAACAAATTATAACTGTTAATTAATTTAATTTGTATTCCTCGAGCTTTGATTGGCCTTATTTAAAATTTTCCGGTAATTATCAATAAAATAGGTATTCTCAATTCAGTTCTTATTATATTTTTTAATTTAATCTAAATATTAGTATAAATATATATACTTATTATTTAAACAAGGTACGAACATGGAAATGATTAATACCAAGGTGGGATGTGAAATTTTCTCAAGCTTGAGAGATGTTTATATTGAATGTGTATATTTCCTAAAAAGTTTTGACTTACAAAATATAGTCATGCTAGAACTTGTAACCCAATCATATTTGCAGGGCGCAACGTGAAAAACGTCCATAACGCTAACTTTAATAGTTATGCCATATTGCCTTTACGGTGTGTTAATTTTTGATACTTAAGTATATGAAAGATTTTGAATAATAAAAATAAATTATTTTTATAATCACGTAAAAAACAACATAATTCATATAAATTTCTCATTTCTTAGAAGAACGGAAAAAACTACTGATGGTATTAATTGGGTCACATTTAGATTTGTATAATTATACTTAAATTATTAATATTATATTTTATTAAAAATAAAATTAAACGATCTAACTCAGCTAAAAGATTATGTGATAATTATTACACAGCTAATAATTTTTTACATTACAATTTCGCTTCCAAAACGAAATTCTGAAAACACCTGCTGCCTCTATACTGTTGCTATTCATACAAATAAATGAAGAAGCAACATTTTCTTCTATCACAATCTAAAAAACTATAATTATAGATTTGCATTAAGTATTATAAGAATAAAGTACAACTATTTAACAATTATTATAAAAATGTTTTTTCAGTTGAGAGTCCATGACTAATAGCCACACTCAATTCAATCATTCCATTAGTTAGTTTTAATTGGTGATTTTTTATAGGATTAGCTGTCGTTTCTTCCGAAAATAATTGTAAATTTCCTGGTGCTCCAGCACATTCATCGGTAACATTTACCAATGATTCATTGCCTATTGGAGCAATAGCTACTTACAGCTGTGAACGAGGTTTTGAACTTTTGGGACCTGCTCGTAGAGTATGTGAGACAACCGGAGAATGGCTACCAGAGGGAATTCCATTTTGTGGTAAGTGAATTTTAAATTATTTACGATATTACTTTCAAATGATCGTATAAATACAAAAGGTAAATATTTTTTAAGTTCCGGTTGTTGAATATACATTAAATATTTTTCATATAAAAATTTTATACATTGACTACCTATTAAAGGTATTTAGTTAGAAAGTTGTCGAGCTTCTTCTCTTTTATAGTCACTTTCGATGATATTATTATTAGATTTTTCCATTATTCATTATTCATTGCGATTTTCATAGATTTTCATAGAATTAAATTTTTTGTTATTTCCATATAATGAAAATAAAATATCATTCTTTTATCACATTCTTGAACTTTCGCTCACGTTTATGCACAAATTAAGGTCGAAACATAGTAATTTTGCCTTACACCGTGAGCTATTGATACTTAGTACTGCGCTATTTTTTATCGTGACATAATAAAAAACTGTCACATTGTGACAGTTTGACATCTACTCTTGATCTTTATAAATTAATAATACATAATAAAGTAACAAGTATAACGTATGACAGTAAGACGAATTTTTTATGTTTTATATTCATTTTACCGCTGTTTTTATTCCCGGGATTTTTGTGAAAATATTAGATAAATAGTTTAGATACCGTTGAACAAGATCATAAAAAATGCTCAAGATTGTCGTCGGTTATAATCATACAAAGTGGCAAATTATGCTTATAAATTTAATATTCCGTAAAAAAAGAATACATTTTCTTCAAGCGTAAAAATAGTGGATAAGTATTCTATTTTATAACAATGGTAAACCGCGGTTGCTTCAACTGAATTTAGCAGTGTGAAAAATTGTAATCTATTAAAATGTGCATGTTTACAAAATTATATATAAAAAATACAATGACTTATATAAAATAATTTATATTTTCCCATTTTTTATTATAGGTCATTTTCAATTATTGATACAACTGTAACTAATATTTATTATCTTAGTAAATATATGCTTTACTAGATACTTATTAGCTATTGCTATTTGTTAACTGTACAAATGTTTTGAACTGTCATCAGGGAATATATCTATTATAATTGAACTATTTAACTATTTCGTTGAAAAATTTAAATTAATATAGTTTAGGTCATTACTAAATCAACTCTCCTATAAATCAAATAAATGTCAAAATTTTATCGAGAAACTTCTAATTTAAATAAAATAAAACAATTCTTACTTTAATATTTTATTTTTCGATTTTCGATCATTGTTTTAAATTAAGTTCTAATTGAATTAAGTTCAGACATAGTCGTTATAATAGCGATTAACCAAGTTAAAAATTAGTGTACCACCAGCCCATACATTCTTTAGGAAATTTATTAAGTGTGCCAAAAAATAATAAGCCTTGGTGGGAAATAATTTGATTTTACTATACAGTATTTTAAGTAAGATATACTGCTTGTTTCGCCTCATCACATGGTCATTGTTGGCATCTTCACGCAACTCATGAACATTTGTTTTAACATGAACTGTATACTTATGAGCAGTTGGTAATTATTTTTTTAGTACTCTGCGAACGGTTCACATTTGAGTTAAGGTGGGTATTAAAGTTACATTTATATGACCTGGTTAAGTTTTCATATGGGTCCTTTTTGATGTATTCATTAACAGTACAACGGCCGCTGATTTGTTGATATTCAATGATCGAGCGATGTACGCGATTGGTAGTTGTCGCGCGCAACAGGATCAGATCTAACCGAAAATTGTAAGAACCTGTTTTATTCCCGTTTAACTTGAACTTGAACTGTGGAAGTCCAATAAACTCTGTTATTATTGTAGTCGGTATTCTTATTAAATTCACGTGCCAAATGTGTTAATAATAGTTATCTGTCATTAGTGTACGTTAAAAGTACGGATTGAGGATTTTTATCGATGATATGACTGCATGTCCTTGTAAGGAAAACGAAATTTAAGTATGTCTGCCCACCTATGATCTACTATGTACGAATCTCGCAATCCACTGTTATTTTACCCTACTTGAATGACACATAGGTGTATAATAGTAGAACGCATCAATTTTATATGTCACACGGAAATCCTTTTGTCATCCGTATAGGTACGACTAATTCATACACGTACGGTTGCGTGCTGTGTAGACACTAATACGTGGCCTAATTTTTTCGGACATACTTCTCCGTCTTCCCATATAATAATAGTTATAATACCGCTATTACAACGGTAAACTACACCTTCTCGCTCGCCTTCGTCGTTTCATTCCGACGCACGTTTATGTCTGACAATTGGCACCCATCGTCGTATAATTAATTTTCAATTGGTATGGGCATCCGTGCCAATGAGTTTGACTGACATTATCAAAACTAAGAAGATAGTCGTCGAAAACTTTATTATTGTTTATTTTTCCATACGTAATAGACCAATATTTACATATCTATGTGTACACTGTACACATATACCATCGATCAAATAAGATTTAGGCTTCAAGTGTGGACTTGGTCGGCCAGGTCAATCGATATTTGATTTCTAACGTAAACTATAAATGAAAGTTTTTAACAGATATAATTGGGCCTTTAATGCATAAAATACCGCCGCTCCTTAACTTTCATCTGCATGTCCAAAACAATTAAACAATATCTATTATAATTATCTGATTGATTCTAAATTCAATAATAGAAATAGAGAGACCCTACTAACGATTGGGTTTTACACTGTATTGTGTTTCTTAGAACGCATAATAGTACCTGTTATTTTTAAGCCTCAATATCACTACTAATAATTAAAATTCTCTTATATTTATTGAATAAACAAAACTTGAGTACGGAAAAAATGATAAATCCTATGTTAAATAGTTATTCACTTAATAATATAGTTCATTTATTTATATACATTTTAAATAGTAAAAATAGTAGCTTTAATATTTATAATCTTTGCATCCTCGTATATCGAGTCATAACGAATCATTTAACGGTTATAAGACACTAAAGTTAATGTTACGCCAAAGATTATTAAACAGATCGATTCATAAGAAATTTAGTCATAATTTCATAACAGAATCTCATTTTTGAAAGGAGATATTATAATGTTTCTTTTAAAGAAAAATATAAAAAAAGAAGAAAAACTATTTAATTTAAACAAAAAATATTTGTTATAGAAATAACTACAATAAATTTTCAATTAACAACACAAAAATTAACATTGCATTCCTACATAAACCTGTAGGTAGGCCGACTTAGGTCCGGAGTAAATTCCGGTTCTACTAGCCCTCCGTATAGTTACATTCTCGATAGACAATTAATCATTTTTATGTTAAAAATTCGACCCACAAGATATATCTTAAAATAGCTAAAACTTGAGATTGATGGGGATAAAACACACATAATATAATAAAAAAAAATATAGTACACTTTTACATAAAATATATTTAAATATACTGATTAAAATAATTAATTATTAATTGACCGAAGATAATTGTTTTAAAATTAGTTATGATTACGCAAAAATTGTATTCTAATAAATAACCGCTGGATTCTAAATATTTTTAATTGTTGTATTAGTCATTTATTAATATTAATGAAAGAAAATTCATAATTACTACAGTTGAAAGGTGAATAAAAAATGGTAATTGTTTTGATACGGACGAATGAAATACGAAAACTATAAAAAAAAAGGTTTATTTCATTAACATGTATGAGTCGAGCCAAATTATTGTAATTGATTTATGAGAACAATTCGTTTTATAAATATAAATTTGTATAATTTAAATAATTAATTTTTATCATATATGTTGTTTTATTTCTAATATTTGTAATTAATCGATATTTCTAAATAATAAACCTCAAATTAATTCATATTTTTAGAGTTTAATATAAAAACACCACTTAAACAGATTATTACTAATTAACCATTAAATTGGATCAATAAAAATGAATTTNTAATATTTGTAATTAATCGATATTTCTAAATAATAAACCTCAAATTAATTCATGTTTTCAGAGTTTAATATAAAAACACCACTTAAACAGATTATTACTAATTAACCATTAAATTGGATCAATAAAAATGAATTTACTTACGACTGTGACAAATAATTATATTCTAATAATTTCAATGCAATACTATTAATAGCGTCTTAATTTTGTAATCTACAAAATTATTATTTTATTTCTTACATGTTAATAATCAAGCTACTTGCATCGTTTATCAAATAATTGTTTAAAAATTCATCATATTTTAATGCAGTGATAAAAAATACGTAAGTGTGTTATAAAGTGTTTCAAAAAATATGTGTTTTTTTTATTAACTCTTATTATTTTAGGTTTCGTTTTTTACTATTATTTTGAAATTTTAACTTTTGCTGTAATTATACATATATAGTAGCCAATCCTTAAAAATTACAAATTTTTAAATTTTTTATATGTACTCTGGATTCATTAAAAAAAACGTTTGATGACTATTCTAAAGTATCATTAGATTTATGTGAAGTTCTAAAAATAATTGTTTTTTACACTTAATATTCTTTTTTAATATAAACAATAACTCAAAGTTATACTGATAGGTGGATTATCAAGTACGAACATGTTTATGTAACTTTTATACAACATTTGAATACATTTTTTGTGATGACATTTAAGACGTATTATATAGAGATGAATTATGCAATTTGGTAGTATTTTTAACAAGACCGCTCAAGCTTGCGAAAGAATATAATTTTTATGTTAAATAAAAAGATAATGATCCCACTAAGATACGGGTCATCTTAGTACTGTGTCATATTAACGGTTCTCATAAGGCGAGCCAATAAAACTCAAATTATAATCTCTGTACGTGATTTTCTGTTCACAAGAAGTATGAGTTTTGCAGCCTTTCTAGTATAGATAATTATTATTCTTAACTCCAAGTGTCATACATCATAAATTAAACACAACTTAAAGACCATTGCATTAAAAATCGAACACGCTTGATTCGTGAAAGAATTTTATAATTAATTTCTTTGGTAAATACCCAGTAACTTTATCCTTTTTATACTGTCCATTATA